GCTTTTCGCGTGTTGTCGGACATGTTCCGAGCTGCCGATTCAGAGGTCAAGGATAGGAAAGGAGAGCTAGTCGAGAAAGCACGAAAGTACCGTGAGAACAAAGTCGATCTAATTGCCGACGGAGCAAATGCCATCAATCAGATGGAATACGTACTTCAAATAATCAGGCAGTCGGAACTTGGAGATAGGAAATTTTCTGAGGGAGCGGCAAAGGCGGAATGATGCGATTGCGGGGGGCGATGATGGGTCAGATGAGGAGAAAAGGCGGGCTTCCTTCTACTAGATATTGGATTTCTATGAGACAAGAGGCTCACTGAGATACAAGAAAGCAATTCAACTTCTTTATAGAAGTAGTCTTCATTGGAACCCACCATGGCTTCGTCGACACTCAACTGGCGTCATTTGACGCGATGACATAATCGAACTTAAGCTCTCCGCACGAGATTTGGGGTATAGATTAGTTGCCATATGCGATGGTATGGCGAGCAAAAGCCACGACCGGAGGAGCAAGACTACTTCTCAGAATTCTCTCTATCTTTCGAGTCGCGAATTTGGCACATATCGTACAAAAAGGAGTTATCAACATTGAAAAACAATCAAGTTTAACCAGCTGTTCCCATTTTCTGTTGGTGGGATGGGCCTATCCTCGGCCATGCATTGGTAAGTTGAAAAAAAGGTAAGATTCCCTGTAAAGAGGTTTGAACATTGAAGAAGGAGAGGAAGGAAAAATAACAAGAACAGTGGTATCTGTCTTCCTGAACACCGTCCCAAATACTCCATATCGCCCGCAAGTAACCAATGTAAGTCAACAATCAACGACTACCTCCAGCCTGCTCCAGAGCTAGGGTAGAGAGTCTCCGGGGGCCGCTCGATGCTTGGAGCGGCCATAGTACTAAGCCTTATAGCGTCTCTGCTTGTAAGACTGATATCTCGGGGCCGAATGTCACCTCCGAATGTGGTTCGTCTATGACTCGTGCTTTTCATGATTGGAAGAGTTCGAGGACTCAGAACCCTAGGCTTGGGATCAAGCTCTTTCTCACTCTTGACCATCCGCCTGGCCTGCGACGCGGTAAACATTGTGTTTTCGCTTGGAGAGCTTCCATAGGTTGCAGATGTCGGGCTGCGTCGGCGGTGGATGCGGAGGGAGTTGGTAGAAGCAACGGAGCCAAATTGTCCGCCAGAAATTCGTCTCATCGCTGAAGTGATCTTAATGGCATCATCCTTGCTAGCCTTCCAGCTATCCCTGCTGTCGGACAGTGGGCTACTGGAGTAACTTCCGCTGGATGTTCGGACTGCGATTCGAGACGGACGGTCCATAGAGCTGCGATTCAAGAAACTGCTGTTTTCAATATCTCGCAAAGGCGAATTCTCATTGTCAGAGAGCGGGAGAGTGGAGGTTGGAGGCGGCCCCACAGGCGAGCTGCCGGCCTTCTTTGACAGGAATCCCGCTTTAAACCGATTGTTCTTTTGAACGTGCAGCGTTGGTTCATTGGAAGGAGGCGGGATTGGAGAGGAGCCAAAAGGACTGATATTTCGGCTGGGCACAGGAATTCCACGTGGGATTGGAGAGGCTCGGGGCAGTTGGGGCTCCTCGCTGGGAGCTTCTTCAGGGATAGTCTCAGTAAGTGGTTTTTGAGGTGTCTTTTGATACTCCGTCAAGGCACCATCTTGCTCGTCGTCCTTCCAGCGGACACTCCTCTTCATTGATTTTGCCTGTGTCTTCTTCGGCGAGAAACTGACACTCTTCCTCCCGGCACCCACTTTACGTCGTCGTGGAGATCCCTTCGTTGGTGATGCCGGGGCAGCGGGAGTAAAAGTTATTGGTGCCCCCAAGCCTTTCACAGTAGGAAGATGAGCTACGCTCGACCTCCTCTTCTGCTTGGGAGAGCTATGCTTCAATGGACTGAGTGGTTGAGCAGGCAGTAGTGTGCCGTCCGGTTTTACGACATTGGTGGCGACGTTAGCTGACGAGTTGAGCATCTTCAGAAGAATCTTCTTGCCCATTTCAACTGCCTCCTCCTCACTCAGGTGCATTATCTGCTCAATGGAGGCAATGATTTCAAATTGAGCTTGGAGAAGAACTTGAATTGTTGCCGCCTCGCCTGCCTTGTCTTGGTCGGCCACTGCGGACAAAGCCTCTCGCTCCGCATTTGCCCGGAGCAGCTCTGCCTCCCGATCGAACATGGCAAAGTCGTTATTGTCGCTATGCTCAAAGTCTCTGAGTTGACGGATGGCGTTCTCTACAGCAGAGTTCATAGCTCGGTCCCAGTTATTCTTCGCCAGGCGCTGATGATAATGTTGCCTACTACCCTCCAGTTCGAGGAGGATACCTTGCGCCGTTTTCCGAATCGCTTGCAGATTGCATAAAGGTTCCTCGTTTCCAGAGTTCGCGCACACTGTATCGAAAGCCGCAATCCATGAAGACAACATGCCGATCCGGCGGCTTACCTGCTTCAATTTGATCATAGTATTGATCTTCTCTTGCCTTTCTGGCAACGAGTGATCATATGCGTTGCGAATGCGTGAGACACCTTCCCGAATAGCTGCGTCCTTCTTTTCGGTCTGCTTCTTGAACTTTGCGAAGGCCAGTTTTTCAGATTCCTTCTGCTGAGCTTTGAGCTCATTGATCAGGTTCATTTGCTCATCGATCTTCACTAAGAAGTCTTTCACATGGCGGTTGACGTTGAATACGTTGCGCGTGACCTTAGTCTGTATATTTTTCGCCCGGTTTGCGTAGCGCAGCGTGTTTTGTGTCTCGTCGAAATGTTGGCTAGATGGGCTAACACATACAATCATCACCGTCCTACAGTTGCCGCCCAGGGAGAATTTCAGAAGACGAGTCAGCTTTGAGTTGCGGTAAGGAACGTGATTGCGCTTTCGAGGGTCGCAGAGGGCGTTGATACAGCTGCCTAGCGCGAGAAGGGACTTGTTGATATTGGCTCCTTCCAGTAGCCGCTCGCCTCTGTTCTTAGTGGCACTAGCTCGCTCGCTTCCCGCAAGGTCAATGATGCTCAATGTCGCCATTGTATGTGGTTCGTTGACATCCGCGTTGCGATCCTTCTGGGCGATATTGATCTGAAGAACTGCATGCGACCGAGAGGAAGTAGCGTTGGCTTCCGTTGGCGACATTGTTCGACATTCGTTGCCCCGCATGATCATGTCCATCACCTGTTGTACGTTTTGCGGATGGTGACTCGATAGCCCGGAGACAGAAACCGACTTATTCGTATCCTCACGGAGCATCAAGCCTCCTTTGCTACCACCAGGGACCAGAAGATCGCGAATTGTTTCATTGTAAATTTCCAGGTATGAAAGGGATACTTCAGTGTGTTTTTCTCCTGACCGCTCCTCAATTCGTTCGAATAACTCCTGCATGGTAAGGAAGATGATACCGGGTTGTTGTGCTGTGCCGGTGATGGTGTGCGTCTTTCCACATCCGGTGGCACCGTAAGCGAAAACCGTGGCATTATAACCGTCAAGCACGCTGTCCAGAAGGGTTCGTGTAGTCGCTTCATACACCTCACCCTGTGTGGCATTTTGGTCAAAGATGCGGTCGAAGGCGAATGTCTGGTCCTTGACGCGTTTGCCGTTTGGCACAACGCTTCTTGAGAACTTCTGGACTGGATTGTCCTCCGGAGGATCGAAGACTCTTTGAGCATCGTCAGTTTTTCTTTTGAATTAATAACCTGATCAACATTTGCACTCACAAGCATCTGTCATCAATGACTTTGATAATGGACCGGATTCCCTTCTGATTGAGCTTGGGAGTTGGTGCACCGGCCAGGGAGCCATCTCCTAGGAATAGGGGACCGTCTTCACATTTCGGAAGCTGTGCTGCTTCTCGGATTGTGAAAGGTCGGACTCGAACGGTGACTGTGATCGATGAGGAGCCGCCTTCGGCTGCCATGGCGTCTATATGTTAGCGTTCCTCCAGCTTGGGCTGGGAAGTTGAAGTCGAAGACGAAAACCAAGAGAAGGGCGATTTTCGGGTATCCCGCGATGCCCTGCACCCTTCGGCCACGCGGAAAGATTATGGCGAGAATGAGGTAAAAGGAAGTTATCAATAGAGAAATTGGTGTCGAGAGTCCACAGCTGAGGAATGTTGACAGTGGGACTCTTCGAAACTCTGGTACCTCTCTAGACTGTTCCTGATTGAGTTATTCTCCAATGATTTGTCTTCACGTCAAGCTGTTGACTTTGGTTGTTTGTCCACGTTGCGTTGCTCCGAGCAACCGTCAGCGTTGTCGATTAGCGTAATGGCGCGTGTGCGTAGCTACTGTCACCAGACTGTCTCCTAATTATGCAGAGAGACACAATCGCCACAGCGTCTAGTATTTATGGCCACACACTACTCTATCGTGATTGGCTTGATCATCGCTTTTCGAAGATATTGGAGACCACACTCCGGTCACTTTTGGAGATAACTTAGAGGGGTACCATGAAATAGATAGTCTAGTCACAGCCAAGGGCTTCGTTATTACCGAGTTCAACATGGATGGTACAAGTTGGAGATCATATCCAGATTCATCTTAGCTCCCCCAGATTCGACGACGGTTATTTTCGACACAGGACCGATCTTCTCTCCTCACAGAATCGCTTAGCGGCTACTAAGGACAGCAGCGATAACATATGAGCGTGCAAATTTTGGTTACTACTCCGGAGTAGATACTATTTTACCGTGGTGAGCCAGACCAAACCACATCATTTCTCGCGGACCCAAACATGAGAAAAGAGAGGATTTTGCATGCGATATGCGGTCGTGAGTAGGACCTATTATTCTACTAGATGCATAGAGCTATGTTCTGAGGCATAACATTCATTCAATCGTCCTGTTGCAGTATCCTTTTTTGGACGGTTCAAGTCCGTCATAAAATAAGAAGATAGGCCCTGCCATCGTCTAATACAAAGCATAGTATGAACACCATTGTAGACCCATAATCCCAGCCGAGCGCCAAAAGCAAGAAGCAGACGAAATGCAGTAGATTCAACCGTTTTCCTGGCTAATTGGGTTCTCCCTCCTCGTCATCAAGGCTTGGAACAACGACGTCCCAGCCAGGATCCTCCAACTCGAGGTCAATGTCGAGGTCGCCATCTCTCTCGGGTTGCTCACGGGGCTTTCGAAACCTGAAAGCGATCACCTGGCCATTTCGTATATCTGCTGCTTTCAAACTGGTCCGCTTTCCAGCACCTCGTTTGGATGTTCCGCTGTTCTCGAGTTCCGGCATCGCAATCTCCAGTTTCGACCATCCTTGTTCTAGGTCGTTCTTGTCCACCGTAACACCAAATTCAATGTCTGTGAAGTCTTCCGGTATTTGATCCCCGTTAATCTCCTTGATACCTCGCGATTGGAGAGCTTTGAGAAGCATCTCCTGGGCTGTCGCAATCGTCTCGTGGGGCGGAAGCATTAAAAGCACGGTAGTTTTGTGCTTCTTGAACAGAAGCGTCAAACTCAGAGGGTCCACCTGTGACTGTAATATAGTGACATGTCAGCACGGTTTCCAATAACCACACTGCTGCGCTCAAGCCGGTTACTTACCATGGTGGCCTTTGATTTCTGATTATGCGAGCTGGAAGAAGCTTTGGTGGGACCTCGGAGTAAGCAATCAGATAGATACAGACTCGGGAACTCGGAGTAGTTTAGTGTGTCCTTCAGTCTCCGACCTACACGAGAAAGCTGCAAACATCCAGCGCACCGCTCCTGGCGTCGACTGATCCGATCGAGAGACTGTCACAAATTTGCATGGAACAAGACCGTTCAGTTCTTATAATAGGACATCAGATTCTCCCTATTTCAACATGGACACCGATTCCCCGACCGAGACGCGCTCTACCGAGCCTTCAACTTTATTGAAGATCCTCAACTGGGACAAGCTTTTCGAATCCGATACTCCTCCAAGATTAGGTATTGAGGTTGGGAAGCGATTGCCGTTTACAGCCTTATCGGCTTTCTCTGTTGGTATGGCAATCGGATCTTCGCATGGAAGCAAGAAGGCCGCATACCGTTTTCGCGCTGAAAATGCGCACCGCTTTCCGACCACATCGACGGGATGGTTTCAATACCACAAGACTAAAAATTACATAGCGATAGTGGGAGGCGTGAAAGAAGGTATGAAGATGGGACTTAAACTCAGTGCTGGTGCGCTAGCGTTCTGCCTTTTCGAAGAGACTGTGGACTATGCTCGGCACGACAAGAGGGATTTCCTCTCAACTGTCACGGCCGGACTGTCCTTTTCTGGCATTTACAGCTTGCTAGGTATAATCCCGCTTGGCCCAGTGTACCCATACGATAGGATCACAGCTAACCGAAGATATTCCATAGCCCGACACGACGTCTATACGGCTGCTCGCACAACGAAACTCGGCTTGAAATTGAGTCTGGCTTATGGGCTAATGCAGGATGCTCTTGAGACTCTCAAGGGAAACCGTCCAGCCTATGTCGATTTCATTTTAGGCAACCGCGGGCGCAAAAGCGAGGATTGAGGCAAATTCGCAACTGAATCTTTCCTCCCTCTGGTGACGATAGTGAACCCGAGATCCGACTTGTCTTTCCACCTGCGCATCACCTCGAGATACCTTGATGGTCAGCACAGAAGTGACGGTAGATGGGTGCAGAATCTCGGTCGCGGCTTGAATGTCAGACTCCCCTGATACTTAACTTCAGGCAGAAAGTGATGCCTTTGACCGAGGTCTACATCACCCAAATCCGCAAAAAGGAAAAAACAACTTGGCACAATGAGATTTGGTAGGGTAACAATCTTATCGTCCCTCGATGATACCATTCCCTCCCAGGCTGAAGTGACAGCATCGATGTTGAACTCAGTTATGGCTGTTTGGCAGGCTTGGACTGTCGTCGATGAGCAGTCTGGCAGCTGCCCCTCATTTTCAATTTACGGGCTATCTAGCAGTGAGGTACGAGACAAGTCGCCTTCCCTTTGGGAAAGAGTCATGTTTCTCCCACCGAGTATATCGTCCACACTATGAGGGAGTTGCACTCTCTAACTGTGATCTTATGATTCTCAGGCTTTATCTAGCCTATGTACTCTCGAAGTCTCAGATTTGATACTGGTTTCGAGTCTGGAAGCATAATGTCCCGCTCCTGGTGCTAGAACAAAGGAGACTAGGTCTTTCAAGATAATATCAATGGCTTTGGCATTTCCTGCTAGTCGTGCGTACAAATTTCTCGTAGATGTCCATAATCAAGAGGTGACAACAGGTTGTAGATTTGAAAATGCTTATCGTACGGCTGCTGAGCCAGCCAAGTCCGATCACTACAAGTGCTGAATAGGAGGGTATGTACCTGTCCTAGCCAATGATCAGGTGACATTATCGGTGGGTATGTAAGGGCTACATAAATCCTCCGTAGGCATCTTTATTAGGACACAAAGTTCTGAACGTCTGTGGCTGTCGAAATTTAATAATCTGCATATTCACTGCATTACCCATTGAAAATACAACCGACGATCTCCGTAGACGTATGGAGTACTCAAAGTAGATACCTACAGTTAGTATGGAAGCCTTAAAACAATGGCTGTCTACTCGGGCAGCTGCCGAATCCTTCTGCTGGACTAAAAAACCGTCTGAAAGCGAATGGAAGAAGGGACTCAAAAGCACAGAGAAATGCCAATGAAGATGAAACAATCCTAAAATTCTTCACGTAGATTGAGCACCCTAATATCTAAACATACCAAAGTATTTACTTCCTACCATTGGATGTGTGATTGGTATCGTTCTTTACCTATATTACCTGCTGATCCTACCTAGATTAGATAAATTCTGACCGCTGCTGTCGGCACTGTTGGATAGATAACTGCGAGTACCCCACCACTGACATCTTTGTCTGTGTCGGCTCCCATATACATGGCCAATCTCCCGACTCAAATTGTTGTCCCGCATTTGCAGTACAAGGATCGATGATTCCTTCCCCTGCTGAGCATTACTCAATATTCTGTCTTGCATTTTCAGCCTCCTCAGCCTCTTCGTCATACACATATAAACTTTCTATCCCTGTGGGATAGGAAATATTACAAACACCCCCGGGGAAGACAGCAGAAGGAGTAGTAGGTTACTGACTTGGCTCTACTGAATTAGTGGTGGAGCTCTACCACACTCCCACTATGATTTGACGTTGGTGATCCCCGCTTTCCATTAACATTGGGTTATTATTCTGTTGGAACGGTTTCTGCCGTCCGCTAAGCACCTAGTACTAGTACTACCCTGTGTGCTATGCTTCTTCTTTTGCGAAATTTCGCAAATCGTTGAAAAGTCCCAGTTCCTATCTCATCGCTGCATCGTCATTGTCGAAAACTCCACGACTTCAAATGTCGCGCCATTACTGACGCCCGTCCTTGTCCTCCCCGCCCCCCCGGCGGTGCTTTTCTGAAGCTCCCGTGATCACTTTTCTCGTCGACGTCATCGGCCCATTGATCGCTTCCCGGCGAACTATATGCTGCTTAATCGGACGACACAAGATCAGTTCTTTCTGGAGTCCGTACCCAATTCGCAAGCCATTGCAACCCATCCATCATGCGGCGTCACGGCAGGGCTGGCGGAGGAACCAAGGCCGTCACGCCCGTCTCCGATACCGTCTCGTTAATACACTCATTCGACTCAGTCACAAATCCAAATCGACCTGCACGACCGTCCCCGTTGGCATCCTCACATATCCAAGCATTACCTCTGGACTTGATTGATCGACTACGTTCCTTTCCCCTGTTCCAATCCACCCCCGAATCGTTTCTGGTGGAGGTCGCACAGCATCTCCGCCCCCAACTCAGTGCTCCGAACGATTATATCCTGACGGAGGGTGACGAGGCCAAGGCGATATACTGGTTGGTTCGGGGCGCTGTCTCAGTCACTTCGCGCGATGGGGAAAGTATCTATGCCGATTTGGAACCGGGCGCGTTCTTTGGCGAGATTGGGGTATTGATGGACCGGCCCCGAACAGCCACCATCATCGCTCGAACGCGATGTCTACTGGTTGTTCTGTCCAAAGAGGACTTCAGGAACATTCTCCCCCGATTTCCAGAGGTGGAGCGAGCGATACGGGATGAGGCCCAGGAACGATTGATGATACTGGCGAAGAAGAAGAAGGAAACCTCAACACCTTCGGCTGACCTCACTAGCCCTGCCCGCAGAGGCTCGAAGAGACTAAGAGATTCGTCCTCTGGGGGCCTGTCACCTATCGAACGTGAAGGCACATCCTTGAAGGCTGGCAACAAAAAGCGCAAATCGCCAAGTCCTGGAGTCCGTGTTGCAGATGCTTCTTCAAGCGCGCTGGCGAACGGGTCGGTCAATGTCCGCCTCTTGCTTAAGGAATTGCCTCTCTTCTCCAGCCTTCCCCCGGACATACTACACTTTCTAGGGCTCAATGCTCAACCACGATCGTACCCTCCATTCACGGACATTATCCGACAAGACTCCCAGGGACGTGAAATTTATTTCATTGTGCGAGGCGAAGTTGAAGTTCTCACGGAAAGAGCGGAAGCACAAGACCGCCACTCTCTACCAACTACTATCGAGAAACCACCATTCGAAGTCAAAGCAAGACTCAAGCAAGGGCAGTACTTTGGAGAGGTTGTGAGTCTGTCGCTGGCGCCCCGCAGGACAGCGACGGTACGCTCTGTTACTGCAGTCGAGTGCCTCATGCTTAGTGGCGATGTCCTCGCCGAATTCTGGGACAAGCTTCCCCAGAATGTCCGTCAGCAGGTCGAGAACACGGCCAAGGAGAGACTTCAGTCTGCGTCTGATGGTGACGTTGTCATGTCAGATGCAGGAAGCGCTGATCAGCCAACTGATGGGGAGTTTAAAATCAGAGCTGCTCGGCGACAATCAATGCCGCTTTTGACGCTCACAGAGACAGAGTTGGATAGCCCTCGAGCTCCCACTGCCATGGAGGATCAGAATGTGTTGAAACCCTCAGATCCTGACCCTTTTCTGAATGTTGGCTTGGACAAGGTTCGACTACGCAGCCGGCGCGGGTCCGTCGCCCCGCTGACACCAGACGAGGTATCTGGGGAGCAGCAGCGACAATCACCTCCGTCTGGGACTCGTTCGACTAGGTCGTCCCTCTATTCCCTTTCCGAGACATCGACTTTGTCGGCAACACAGAAGACACGCCGCGAGTCACGCGGCGATAACGTCGGCATCCTACCGGACAATATACTCGTGAGGATTTTCCAGCACCTGGAGCTTCACGAACTTCTGCGCCTTCGAGCTGTCTCTCTGCACTGGTCTGAGATTCTTACCAAATCCTCTGAACTCGTTCGTTATCTTGATCTAAGCATATATAATCGCAAGCTCAGCGATGATGTTTTGGTCAAAATAATCTGCCCTTTTGTGGGAGAACGACCTCGCCATGTCGATATCAGCAATTGCTTCCACATCACCGATGAAGGCTTCTCGAAATTGGCCGCTACATGCGGCGCTAACGTCGTCACTTGGAAGATGAAAAGTGTCTGGGATGTTACTGCCTCTGCCATTCTTGAGATGACTGGCAAAGCGACTGGTCTACAGGAAGTTGATTTGAGTAATTGTAGAAAAGTTGGGGACACGCTGCTGGCTCGGATAATTGGCTGGGTTGCTCCTGGACAACATAAGCCCAACGGCGAGACTGGAAAGATGGGCAAAGCAGCTTTGAAACCCACGATGCAGACTGAAGCGGGCACTGTATATGGTTGTCCGCAACTAAAGAAATTAACCTTGTCATACTGCAAACATGTCACGGATCGCTCGATGCACCATATTGCGTCGCACGCTGCCTCCAGAATCGAGCAGATGGATTTGACCCGATGTACGACAATCACTGACCAAGGCTTCCAATACTGGGGAAATGCCCAATTTATCAATTTGCGCAAACTCACCTTGGCGGACTGCACTTATCTCACCGACAATGCCATTGTCTACCTAACCAACGCAGCCAAACAGCTACAAGAACTGGATTTGGTAAGCTCATCACCATTCAGGAGCTATCTTGCAGAACCGCTGACCGTGACCAGTCGTTTTGCTGCGCTTTGTCAGACACAGCGACAGAAGTTCTCGCACTCCAATGCTCGCAGTTGACCTATCTCAACATGTCGTTCTGCGGGTCCGCGATCTCGGACCCTTCCTTGCGCAGCATTGGACTCCACCTTTTAAACCTCAAACGGCTATCAGTCCGTGGCTGCGTCCGGGTCACGGGTGTGGGCGTTGAAGCGGTCGCAGAGGGCTGCAATCAGCTGGAGTCGTTTGATGTCAGTCAGTGCAAAAACCTCCTTCCGTGGCTCGAAGACGGCGGACCCCTCAGATACAAAGGCAAAATTGACTTCGAGACCGTTGCGCAGAATGGACGAGTGTTTCGATAACCGCCATCGCAATTGTGGCCCGTTTCTTGTACATCCCCTCATCTTTGCGACCTTATATCCACGGCTCTACTCACTTTGATGATATTTCCTAATCCTTGAATGGGCATATATTGCCCTTGAACTATCTATTTATCTAATGCCTTATCACCCCTCGCATTCTTGGATCTGACTATCTTCCAACGTTCCATCTACCACCTCATCTCATACGATTTCACTATCAGTTTGCAGGATTTTCTCTCATCTGGATGCTCGACCATTTTCGTGGATTCACCTATGTGCCACAATCAGTAACCGTACTGGAACCGTTCTATCAAGTATATCCAGTTATCAGCATCGCCCACGGTTTCCTTGGCTCGTTTGCAATCCTTCATTTCATTGCCTTTACACTAGGACTCATTCTTTTAATTCTGTATGGGCTGCATAGGGCTCCGGCGTGGGAGGAGTTTGATTGAGGGAAGAGCGTTTGGCAGCATTCCCCTTCAAGGGTTGGATTGGTGACAGAGTTCGTGTCATGTTTGATGATATTGTCACTTCAGGGCCTTCTTGTTGTGATTTAGAATGCTGTTCTTTGATTTCCATTTTGGGAGCTACGAACGGATAAATAGACGAATTTCGAACTTGCGTCTGCTTTTATGCTTCTTGAAGATCCCCTGCTTCTTGGTTTCAGCATATCCTTTGTTCTTTAGATCACCAGAACTTCATTATGTTTTACCGACACACCATCGTCTTTCATAACCTCTTTGTGCCAGTGCAAGCCAAGACAAAGGAAAATTGAAGAGTAAGTCAGGGCCCATTCAATGCTATTCTTTCAACATCGACATTTACCTTTGTCACTGATGCAATTCAAGTTCAAAACAATGTAAACCTTCTGTGGCTGCCCTTGCTTGGAGAGGGCGATAAGTCTCACAATGCTTCTTGTGCTTCATCGCCTTTCAATAAGAATCTTTCAATGTGACGACTAAAGGTCTTTGGCACTTTGTGAAGCTTGCAGGTCGAGCCAGCAAAACCGAAGTCTATTTCTGGCTCTACCATCTTCATGACGGATTCTGAATGACCCAATCCCTTTGTGCAGTTTGGCATTGTATGCTTCGGAATGCTTTGTTTCTTCTGTATGTGAAGAAAGTGTCAATAACGAAGCCAAATTTTGGATTGCATAGCAGAACCCGTCAAGATGAGGTATAAGTACAGCTTTCTCTTTTTACATCTGGGAGTCTCCAACAGAAACCAGTCCTATATTGCAATCAGCTTTCGTCTCACTCACTTCCTTTCGCTGCTTTATCCGCCCAGGACCGATTCGAATACCGATCCTTCCACGACCTTTGCACCAAGCAGACCTCCTAGTGGTAAGTACATCAAGACAAGATGTCTGGGAGAAAGCGGAGAATTGACGATGTCGACAACAGCGGCAATGACAACCGGAAAAAACAAGCACGAGATTCAAACCTAGGCAGTGGAGCGAACAGCGGACAGTCCTCTTCAGCGTTGAACGCTGAAGTTGTTGCCAAAGCTCCGAACACGACAGCTGCCGTTCCTAGTCAGACTGTGAGTGGTGAGGCCCTTAGTACCAAAACTGCTCCCGCAGAAGCTGAGCAAAGCAGAGACAAAGGGAAACAGCGGCTAGAACAAGTGGAGGAAGCTAAAGAAGCTGCAAAAGAAGCCGCAGGAGGGATTTCAGCCGACAACAAAGAGTCCACTGCAGGACCTTCGACTGGATCAAACAAACAGGCCCGGGTGAAAAAGCAGCGTCGCAAAAAGACCGACCCAGTGCCAGATCCCGTGGAGACGGCTCTTAGCAGGATTGAGAAGAATCCTCCCAAACGTACCGATAGAGCCTGTGACAATTGCAGAGTAAGTGATCAATAACCCCTTCCTCCTTCTGTCTTTTCTGTCTTCCGCTATAACGCATGGAATAGATGAGTACGCAAACGGATACCGTGAGTGGACTCCTCTTTCAATTTTCCTCTTGCTATTTTTCTGAGCTGCATGCCTCCTATTGCCCAGTTTTCCGCTACATAGAGACTAACGACTGTCGTCTGTTCAGATTCAGAAGTTGAAGTGCGACAACCAGCCCGACGGCTGCGCACAATGTGTGAAAAAGGGTATGCCCTGCACATTGACTTTAGCAACCCAGAAGACCTATGTTCGGGGAGCTCTCCAGGAGACCGGACAGGCCAGAGATGGGTTGAATCTTGAGGTTGAAAGGCTCCGTGCAGATGTTGACTTTCTTCTGCAAGAAGTCCACTTGCTCCGGCGAGATGTCCAGCAGCTACAACTGGAGAATATGCAGTTACGTAATGTGCTGGCTGGCCTTCAGACATCCTTTCCTAACCGGAATGTGAGTAACAACTCTTCTAACATATACCATTCTGTTATGCTGTCGAGCAGTTAGTGAGACGTGCAGATGCTGACTTGAGGCTAGCAATTTCCTCTGAATCCTCCACCGGCTGGGCAAGTGCCTCCCCAAGCCCCCTACGATGTGCATGCTCAAACCCAAGCGGCAGGGCAAGCAGCTGGCCGAATGCCACTTCCTGCAAACCTTCCTCCGGCCGAACAGGGAACACTCTATCCCAGGCCTCCTGCAAACCCTTCTCTGGTAGGGCAAGGAGGTGGCCAAATGCCGCTTTTTACAAACCTTCCTCCGGCAGGACAGGGAACCCTCTATCCCGCATTTCCCTCAGACCCTTTCCCAGCAGGACAGGGAGCAGGCAATCCCGCACCCCCTCCAGATTTTCGCCTGGTGGGACCAGGCCCTCTCAACTTTCCACCTGGTCCGAATCTTCCAGTAATACAAGAACCTGCCAATTTCCTACCTGCTCCAAGAACCCCTTCGCCGGAGCAAGGCTCTTCCTCCGATCAATCCAGCGGCAGTAGTCCTTACCGGTCATCTTCCGAGGCGAGTGCAGACAATGATAACACCAACTACGGTGCTACTAACAATGATCCAGCTTTCGCTAACCAGGTTTTTCCCCCAGTGACCGAGCAGGGTGGTGGCCAACCAGCACTGGAAGCACAGCAATCTGGTTACCAGGACACTATGGCCGATGACACTGCGATGGTTCTCGATGATGACGATCTCGAAGGGTTCGTAGCTCAACCAGCTGATCCCAACGACTTCGATGCCTTCCTCAACGCCATTGGTGGTGACAATGGTGGCAATGGTTGGGATCCCATAGACTTATCAATGCTACCTGCTGACAGAAATAGCCCCGCGGCCTTCACCAATCAGCCGTCCGATCCCAGTGCTGCCAATCCTGCGGGCCCAGCGACAGACCTCTTTACAATTGACCCTGCACAACTTACCTTGCAGCCAGGTGATTACCCGCAGGTTGCACGTCCAACTACGACACTGGCAATGGCAGACGTTCCATGGGATTCACAAAATGGGAGAGACAATGACGGTCCTCAGCAGAACTAACCAACTGCTCTTGAAATTACTGACAGCAACACGAAGCAGCACAACTTATATGTGTTCCCGAATGCTGAGCAAGCCGGCGTTAGTGTTCGGCGACGACAAAAATGTGCAAGGTGTCTTGGCCATTTGGAATGCTGTACTGCATGGTGCTATTTTTTGCACTTCATCTTCTTACCCTTCTACTTGACTCTGAGTTTAACTGCGTCGCATATCCTTTATCCTTTGGCTTAGATATGGTTGGCGTTTGTTGATCGACATTGAGGGGGCTGCCCCTGATTCTGTCTCGCTTTTAGATATGTCATTCATGCATTGTCCAGGACCAGAATCGTTAGAGAATCCTAATGTGATGGACAATGCTATTTGCTTATAGTGTGGTGATAGTTACATGACACGTCTCATCTGCATCCTGTCCTTCCTATGCTGGAAATCATCGGGAGTCCCCCAAGTCCACATCTGGCCTCCCGTGACATCACCGTCCGTCGATGTTGGCCTCCACTGTCTGCCAGGAGCGTACACGATACGCACTTCTACCTTGACTGTGAACGCAACTGAAGGAAGAACTTTTCTTGAGAAATAACCGGCCACAGCAACTTCTTCAAATAAACAACAAATAAGGTCAGCCTTCAGGAGTCCATGATTTAAAGTGCTTTACAATGTTGACATATGTACATCATCACTTCACTCCTTGCTTGCTGCTCTTGAGGAAGTGCACCGATCACTTAGTACGCGTATCTCAATCAAAAGCAAAAGTACATATCACAAAACATTCCCAAACACTGAATATCTACCACAAGCGAAGATGGTCGCTGTTTAACCATCCAATCTGTATCCACTGGGGAATCTCCATCACAGACCGATCTACTACTAGGTACCACCCAGCCACGTCATCTCCCCTGAGGAAGAGGACTGTTCCTGAGTCCTGAGGGCACACTCCAGTGACTCCACACCCGCACCATCTATACATAGAAACCAACGCATCACCCTGAAGATCAAAGCAGGCGGCACAGCTACTTATAAACCCATTTCACTTGAGCGAACATTCATTCGAAGCACAAGTATCAAGCACACACTCCTTCCTGACACGCTTAAATAATATCTTACGCTCATTTCAACCACCGAACTCAAGCCACTCATTCTTTTCCCCTGATCTCAAGCATTCAGACAACATGAGATTCACATTCTTTGCTGCTCTCGCCCTCCTCGGCACTGCTTTCGCGGCTCCCACTGCGCCTACTACCTCCGCAGCTACTGTATGCAAGGCCGGAAGCCATGCTTATTTTATTGGATTGAGAAAGACTGCTAATGCGGTGGTATAGATCCCGGCTGGTCAAACCTGCAAGAAGGACGGAAGTATGGGTGTCTGCCAGAGCGGATACTGCTTGGTGAGTTACTCTACGCTCTTAGCTCTCATGGACCCTGAAGGCGAATGCTGATCGATACCCGTGGGATGGTGCAGCAAGATGAGAAGGCCTCTTCTGGAGTTTGCAAGTGAAGAAAAGGAATCCCCCTGAAACGAGCTCCTTATAAGGGAGGCGTTATATGTATCTCTTCAGAAGGCTGAAGCCATGTACTTTTAATCTATTTGAATTTAATTATGACCTAGGTATTGCGTACTGTGCCCAAATCCATAACCCCATGGATATGATCTATTTCTTATCGCTACCGAGAGGATCTAGTATAATTGGATCTATAAAAAGATGACACGACGCCCACTTATGCTCCAGCCAATCCCAGGGGTATCTTCCCAATCGCTATATAGAAGTATAAAGAGACCAAAACTCCAGATCAATATGCCTCTAACCGATGATGCGCAAACGAGAAAAAAATCTTCAATGTTTGCCTCATAGCAGACGATGCCTACCGTTCGGACGGTCTGCTATTCTTCCGGAAACCGCAGCAGATGCCGTTGCTCTCACACCACTGCCTCACAAACTCTGCACTAACTTCTCTGTCCTCGTGGATAAGCCCCAGTCCCTCGATGTTGAGCCAGGTAGCAAAATCCTCTAGGATGATGGGATCGTACATCAGGATTTTCTCATGCCAGCTAGGGCGCTTGCAGTCAACGGAGAACGACCGTGGCTGCAATCGCACAGCCTTGGTTATCTGGCTGGCCAGATCTGGCAGACTAGACTTTGCTGCAAGACCAGAAGGAGACGGTTTGGTGCCGGAGTCAAGATTTGTCCGCGTCGGACTGGATGGTGTGGATGGCGTAGCTGAAACAGGCAGAGGCTGACTGCTCCTGCTTTCTGAGATATGGCGCTTGTAACGACTCTGCAGCCGACTGGGAGATGGTATGACCTCATCTTCCGAATCCTCAATCTCCTCCACATCCGCGAACGACGACTTCGTCAACACCTGACTCGATCCGTTAGCGGTGTGACTCGGTGTATCCTCCAGAGCTGTGCTCGATTTCGCCTCTTCTTTGAGACATGCACTCTCCTTCTTCGTCTTTTCAGCTGCATCCGTTTTCGAGGCTTGCTTGTTTGTCTGAGATTGAATTGTGCCAGCCTTTGTCGTCAAGCCATCGTCTGGTTTTCCTGGAACATCTTGGACATCAGTCCGCGTGCTCACGTGTTGTGCCTTCCAGCATCTTTCAAGCACTTCAATCATCTTCCTGCGACTCTTCATTGCCTTGAAACCATACAATCCGACTTTTTTTGACAAATCAGAGTCCTTCCAATCAGCGAATCGTGGCATTGGACGAATTTCCGACGCCCCGCAAGCGGTTTCTCCCGGTTTAGTTTCGCTTGTTGCCAAGATTTCCGTGTGTACATCGACTAGAGCCTCAACCTCGTCAGTGATCTCTACAGGCCGGAAAGGTTCTCCCTGAGGCACTGTGTCCTCGTCTTTTTTTCCACTTCTGTCCAGTAGCCCGCCATTGGGTTTTGGCGGAAGCTCAGAAATGTCGGTAATGTCTACCATATCCAGCACCTCAATTTCAGCTAGGGATCCATCCATATCTCTGGCTGCGACAGACCACAAATCCCTTGGAGTTTGGAAGCGCGATACTGCGGTATGAGAATATAACCCAGACCCCGCCCTTGCGGTCGAAGAAGGCTTGCGGTTTTCAAGCATACTATTTTCCGATGCGCGTATTGCCTTTTGCATATCTCTGAGCATCGTTGGCGAGTCTTCCCGCTCCAGCTGACTGCACGTTCCGAACATCAAATCCTGATCCTTCAAGTAATCGACGGCATCCTCAGGAGGGAGAACACAAGAGTCGATGTCCAAGGATTTAGAGAACAATTTGTTGCCGACATCTTCTGTGGCTCTAATCATGGTGTTTGCTTCATCCAAGTGATCTGTGCAATCATTGGTGTATAGAGCTGTCACACGGCCAGTAAGAGTTGTAATCTTTCTGCTTCTTTTCTTCGGCTTCCCTTGGGCTGCTGGGGCTTTCGAGGATCGAGTGCTGCGGACATTTGAACGGTTGCTATCAGCGTCCGGCGATGTGCGCTTAGGATTTGATGGGTTTCGAGTGTCTACAAGCTGCAGAAAGGTCAGAATGCGTTGCAGGCTGATGACAATCATAGAACACGTACCTCTAGTCGCCTGCGCTTTGTTGGAGCGCCGCCATCAGAGAGTTTTAAGTCACCTTGAGAATCGGTGGCGGCTTTCAAAAAGCCATATTCGGATAGAAGGTCGCCGAAGCGAGTCTTATTGTCGCCAGTATCATCCAATGCGACGGCTTGCTTGCCAGTGTCCTTGGTAGGCGTCCAATCTAGCCTTCTCTTCATAGCTACTTCAAGCTGTAAGCCATCCTTCTCCAACTCCAGTTTGTTCGCAGGACTTTTTCCCGGCGAAACGTCCGATGTCACAAGTTCCTTGATTTTATCTTCAGATTGTGTAGTCTCGGTAATGCCGGATTTCGCCACTTTCCCAGTGATCGTTTTGTTTTCGGACTTAGTGCGCTTATTCGCAGCGTCTGTGCGCTTTTTCTTTGGCCCCGGGCCTTTCTTGGACGTGCATCCATTGTGTTTCGGAATGGGAGGTTCAGAATGGTCAAAGAGTGTCTGTGATTCGTTCGTAAGTTGTTCTTTCATCCGTTTCTGTCTTCCTCCTCGAGCCGCCGCCTTTCTCCTCGATGCAGCCGAATCTTTCGGTTTCGTCCCTGTTTCAAACTCTTCTTTCGCAGTCCTCGACGAGCCGTCGTTTCCATCCCCAGTTTTGAAAAACCGCGAGCGCGTGGGTGGGTGAAACAGCTCTGACGGAGATGGCAAAGATGAACGGGACGAAGAGACCGGTGACGAGAGAAACACCTTCTCCGGGTAACATTTTGGCTCTGCTGAAGAGTGGGAGGGAATCTGTTCTGGCGAAGAAGAGAGAACGACTATGTCTGTAGCTGTATACATGGTGGCAAATGGGATTTGCGGCGAAGGACCGTACCCTGTCGGCAGGTCATTGGTCTGATATAGAGTTAGAGTCCAGAAAGATAATGTATTGTGGTGCTGTAAAGAGCAGCTCAGAAACTCATAGGTTAGCCCATTATTGAACCCAATGTCGCCAGCCTCGGAATGAATAATGAGAAGTGATAAAGCTGCAGGTTTGTCAAAGATCTTGGCGGTGGTGTGAAATTACCACTTTAGGTAGTATTGATTGGTGGGCCGGGCAACCTGTCCCATTATGGAAGAAAACGACCCCCGCAGCTACGAAACTACAGACGCAACATAAAACTTCATGGAAAACTTCCGTATAACAATATGATTGATGTAAGTAGAATGTTTCAGTTTCGAGAACAAATATATCGTCGTCCTCGCAACATTAGTGAGCATTGACGAACTCCTCAGGTTCCCACATCAGTTGCGCGCAAATTGACGCCGGCACCCAGACACTCTGTCTTGTGATAGTGTGCAATACGAATTCATCATAAGGTCATATCCGGCGACAGGTAGCCATGGACGCCGCACTGAGATTGTCACCCAACTGCTCTAGGAGGGCTGTAAAAGGGGATGGGTCCTGAAGAGCTTCGGACACGGTCATAGTGCGTTCACGCAGGTCTATCCAAACGGCATGTAATTTTGCGCTCTTGTAAGACCGAGCAGCGCATGAAGATCCCCGAAGGGAGGAGGTCATAGTCGTTGAGACAGTAAAGGCTTTGGATCACGTTGCCCCACGCAGTGCAAGTGCACCTATGAGTGAAAGTTCCAGTCGTCGCTTCTCATCATCCTGAGCCCCTAAAGCGCCCAATTTGTAGGCTTTCTTAATCTTCGAAACGTCGGAGATTTCAGACAATGTCTTATCAGCAAATGGTACAGGAGAACCCTCGATGGACTGCTGCAGATGCGCCGCTACTGAGTCACGAGTGACATCTGGCGTAACGGAAACTTTCACCACCAACAGGTCTGTCGTCGAGTCTGTAATGCCGAATTTGCGGAAAGAGTCCGCAATCTGGTGTATTGTCAGTGATGTTCGTGAAAAGCATGTTGCTCGTCCGTGCAATTTGGAAACGCACATTGTTGGCAGGGCTCAAGGAGAAGACAATTTCCGAATGGACATTGCGCGACTTGAGACGCCCATTGAGATAATCATTAACCGCTCTGAAGACGGCAGAAAGGATATGGGTCCTTGAAAAGACCTTGTTTCATTTCAGTATGCTTGCTCAAGTGCGCTCTTCTTATGTAGTCCATACCATGCTCGCGTCAATAAATGCATACTCGAAATCAGCATTGCCTGACAACAGCTGCTGCCGGAGAAATGGCGAGTTTTTCAGATCACGATATAGAGCTATATGAATAGGCAGAGCTGAAGGCAGATGAGGAAGATGTATGGTCTCAAGGGACACAGTCATGGCGCGTACTCCCGTCTGAAATGTTAATCGCAGATACCAAAAATGTCGCAGCAACCCACTCAGAAAGTCTTTCTTTTCCTATTCTGCACTTTCTCAGCTACGGCCTCAGATCGACCCTTTAGAACAATCACAGTTGATAAGCAGTAACTTCGAATCCTCCGCGATAATTTCTCCTGCTCTGTGCCCCTCCCCCACCTTGTGAGCGTTAGTAAGCCATTGCCACGTGATTGCGCTTCTCGAACGTTCGGGTTCCCGTAGTGGATGCCGCCGGAGGTTGCTGATATCACCGGCGCTTTGCTTTAAACACCATCGTCATCTCTCCTGCTTTGAGCTATCACTATCATTCTTCACCATCATAGCGCGCGCTGTCATAGATTTGGTACACACATTGCAGTCATGGCGTTCTTTCTAAGGCGCCCTTTCGCCGTTCCAACGGCTTTTCGTCAAGCCCCTAAGGCTGCGAACACCGCTCGCTTCATCCACAACTCACCCATCAAGCCCGTTCAATCGAAGCCTCTAGGTCCCTGCTCGTCCTCAATCTTCGCACAGACCAGGCAGACCTTCCGGAATGCCTTCCGGCGCACTTACATGCAGCCGTCTTACGGTACAGCTCAGCGTGGCGACCTCGCCCAGCGCCTGCTCTAC